CCCCCCCCCCCCCCCATCTGGAGAACCCACAAAAGAATGACTAGCGAACATGCGCATACAGGCCGAGTAATAAGCCACCAAACAGAAGTGTTTTTAATTACATGACATTTCCACATACATACAATCATGTAATTGTAAACTGTTTGACTTGTTTGTAATTGATCTCATTGTTCAATAAATAATTTTTTTGAACCAGAGGCAGAGAGCGTCCAAAGAGAAATGTCTGCTCTGTCGTTGCAACATATACCTGTATACCCGTAACCCTGTAGCCGTGTAGGTTATGTTGTACCTTAATACATTATTCAGTTGCACGCAGTCTTGCAGAACAGTTCTCTAAATAAATTTGGAGGTAAAATTATTTTCTCCAAACAAACAAATTAGGCGACCCGTGATGACGGCTTCCTCAATAAAGATTATTTCAATTAAATACACCCTTTCGATAATTACGTCACACATACTTTTTGGTCTTGGAGCCTTGATTCATGAGAGCGAAAGGGTGTATTCAAACAACGCCGCTTGTCCTTGGCTCGTTTATAGTCAGTATTTTAAGATTTCACGGGAATTCAACTATCCAAATATTGGATTTTCAGACGTTGTGCACAAAGAAAAAGGTATTAATTAAATTAAACTCGCAATAAAGTCCAGATTTCGACACGATACAAAATCCGTAGAAAACAGGTACAATTCGTTGAAAATTTTAACATTTTGCCCACTCCATGAATGGCCGCCATTTCTAAATAGCACTGTACCCATTGAACTGAATATGACTGTACCCGAAACATGCAGACATATATGTTTCGGTGTTCAACGGTGTGTTCAACGGTGTGTTCAACGGTGTGTTCAACGGTGTTGAACGCCGAAACATGCATGTCTGCAGATTGTACTATTACGCTTCTTCACTTCGGTGTTGTTGAGCACTACCTGTATGTGGAGTTGTTCATGGGTGTCTAATAGCGATAATGCAAAGCTCACTTCCCTTGTGGTCGTTTGAGCACTCTGGCACCATATAGACCATATATATACTTTCATACAGAATGATATAATTAATATTGAATTTAAATACCTAATCCTATCTGGCGAATTGTTTTCTTCTAATACATCCATATCAACAGCTGTATTCTCATGATGTGCATAGGAATTTTCTTTATCGGGATCAGGTGTGACAAATTCATCAACGAAAGCACCGATAACTTTATTGAAATAGTCGAGTTTCTTCTCTTTCGTCATGTGAACAATTCCTGGTGGTGGCACGTGCTTTGATGGACAATCTGTTAGATTTTGCAATCCCCAAAATTTCATCGCAGCTTCCAGAATATATGCTTTTCCAACACTCAAAAGGAACTGCTCTGAGCCTTCGTAAGAATTTGCGACCTTTTCTGGCGTTACATTTTTGCGATTGTATTTCTCTCTAAAGTATTTCAGAGTTCCCACTTCTCTAACTGATCCAGGCTTGTATAATGAGTTGTATACAAACTACAATATGTGAAACAGATTATTAAATAAACTTAAATATAAAGCTTTATAAGTTTGCACAGGTACTGTATGCTGAACATATAAAACCTGTGACCGCTCATTCGGATAATTAGTAGTTATAATAATAGTCTCTTATATTTCTTATTTTCGTGTGAATTGTTTGAATGACCTTCAATAATGCATGACACATTCAAAAATTGGTTAAACAGCATGTTTCTCTTCAAAATTTTCTTGATTTATCTTTTATCAAGATCTTTTTAAAGAATATTTTATTACTTTAAATATTCTATTATACACTCTTTGATATTTGTGACTAAAAAATTATTTTTATACCTGTAGGTATGACATTTTCGTATGGAATAACTCCGACACAAACGGACTGCAGTGATCCAGGCGTTCTTTTGATGTATGTGATCCAGCCCGCAGATCTTTCGCCCCAGCAAATCTAACTCGGGTTAGTTGATCTCCTCCAAATGGCACGGATATCACTTTCATGTGGTCATTTTCATCCACCTTGTTAAAGTGCGCTCTCGGTTGATCTGGTAATGAAGACTGTCCTTCGATTAATGCTGGTTGTGGTGCATTTGGAACCTTTCCTGGTTTTTTAATAACTCCTGCTTTAGCGTATATGTCCTCAACCTCATTCTCATAGTAATCCAGGATATCAACTACATCGTTGTACATCTTCTCATCGGTAAAGGAACAATTACAGATTGCTCAGACATCTCCTTTTGGTATATGTGAGGAATATGATCGGGTACAACACTCTTCAAGAATGATAAACCAGGAATGCTGGATACAATGACTCTTCCAATCAAAACTTTAAAATCTTCTCTCAACTTAATTTCTTCTTCGTTATTCAAGAGAAAAACAGAATTTGGGAGCGTGCGGATATATTCCTTCGAGGTGAGGTTGTTGACAGATTTTGGCATGGCACTCTTTCAACGATCAGGTTTGATGCAAAGTAATGTAGATCTTGATTTTGATTGGTTGATCGCATATCATGAACATGTATCTTCATATCCCAGTTGTCGCCGGTGCCTTGAAGTTTTTTCTCATCTTTAACAGCTTCAACTACGCTGTCTGAAAAGTGGTTGCCAATCATATCTAAAATGTTGATTTTGCTCTGATGTGATAAAGAGACACCCATTTTTTGACATTGTCTAAACAACTATAAACATAATATAAAAACATTAATCAACATTACACTATTGCACATCATTATTCAACAGTTATAATGATGAAAAACATTCAAGAGAGAGGGATCATCATATACCAGAGAGGAATCATCCGTCAAGACATATAATCCGTAGCCAACACGAATTATACCAACACGAACAGGGTGTTAGCTACAGTAAAAAATTCCGCGTTAAACGCGGTTTTCCCAATTACCTTGAGGTCGCAATTTCCCAATTTGGGTCAGCCAAAAAAATAGTTATAGAAATTCAATGTTGTTAATACGCCATTAAAAACATGTTTATAACTACATTTGCTCAAAATTACTCCCAAAATACGGGAAATGCCATTTCAAAGACACAAAAATTTTAAAAATCGAGAGGATGCAACCGCATGCCCCCAGACCCGCAAAGAAATGCCCGGCTTCAGGCTAAAATAAATTTCACAAATTCAGGTAAACGCGGATTTTTTTTACTTCTGGCTAACACCCTGACGAAGTAGACTGATTTTCGAGAGTATATCGATACTGATGTACTACTGCATGGCTATGTGGTCAAACTTTTGAATTTGCCATCTGCCCATCTTATTCTTAGATTCCGCTGGTTACGGGTACCAAAGCAATGGTTTTCTCGTGATGGTCCCTATATAATGTCGTATCTACATTCAGATGAATAATCCTTCAGAAATACAGTTACGTGCATGAACTATGCTGATAGTCTTAACGTTTGTCCAGATGGATCATCTCTCTCTAGTAGCTACAACTCGGGCCACAATTGATTAAGTGAAATTTCGGGTGTCTGCATGCATGAATAAGATAACGGAGAATTAAGGTTCAAGTAATCTATTACATATACGTATGTCAATTAACAATTATTCACCAAAGGCAAGGTGATTATCTGTGACAAAAAAAACGAAAATGATTATCTGTGATAAAAACCGAGAAGAAGTCGAGGTTTTTATTCACGATAATCACCGAGCCTGAGGTGAATAATTGTTTTAGTATAATTTCATAGGTGATTATTTGGAAAAAAATAAAAAATACACATTTCTTCGTCATTTAATTGGCAAAACGGCTTCGGCGGCTATTTTGAAAATCTCTTAGGTGAGTATCGCGTTATAATCACCTCAACGGCAACCAATCAGCGTGGAGAATTTTTAATAATCACCTATGTAATTATAATAATATCAATTAATGTAGGTTATTTAGGGACAATATGCATGCATGTTAGAGATAAATACCTCGAACACCGGGTTGTCTAAAAAAACAAACCGAGGACGCGTATTATTTTATTTTATAATCGAAGAGGTTTTCCAACAATGTTTTGCTTATATTTCGTCGACCTTGGACAAACATATTGCTATATATTTCTTCATTTTGTATATAATTTATATTCACATGGCTTTATGCTTTATACAACACGCGATGTATCAAATAAAACCGACTCGATTATAAAATAAGTGATGTAATAATAGATATCTATAGTATTTTATGGTCAGTCACAACTGAAAGTTGAACATTAAACGCACAAAAACGGTAGTGTCTTAACAAAAACCTTTTGGAGACAATTACTAATATTGCTTGAATATTTATAGTTAAAAAGCGTGTACTATACTATATATATATATATATATACACGTGTGACGTTATTAGTTATTAAACATACTTCTTTCTTTGCATTTCCATTCGTCAGCAATACAGTGTTCAGTCGTTGGACCAAACTGAGATCCTTATTTCTTGTCTGCATTAAAATGGCATAACAAAGACCAAGTTGTGGGATAATCTCAATACATTCTTCTTTTGACTTGTCCATGACTGTAAGAAGAACGTCTAGCAAAAACGGACACCGTATCGACATTTCTGATGACAATTTTTGCCACTCAAATCCAGCCATATTACAAAATTTGTTTTTCCGCAATTCAGATGGTTTGCCCCTCAAACAAATGTTTTTACACTCATTGTCAAGTTCGTGTAGAATACTTTCCTTGAGGTTACGTATCAAAGAAGGAACGGATTCAATTGCATGCGTAATAATTGATGTGACTCATGAAGTGAATCATGCAGGGCCGCCTAGAAAATTTGCGGGGCCAGGGGAAATTAAATCTTTTCTGCTGGCCCCATGACATCATTATTTTTAGGTAGACACAAGTCAGTCACCCAATTAGACCTTACCTAGACTTCATTTCAAAAACGGTCCGACAAATTAAAAGAACCTACTCAATTTTGGGCTATCTCTTTCAAGTTGGAGCCCTATTAAGGTGGGGACCCAGGGCAATTTGTCCCCCTGCCCCTCTAGGTGGCAATGGGTAAATACCTTTCAAATGCGCACTGACCAGGCACATGGCGTCAGCATTTTTATGAAGAATTACGGTTACGCCAAATTAAAATGATTGGAATCTATCATAAGAAAAACCAAGACGTCGGGCTTCTATATAGTCTATTCTGTGGCAATGCGCTCTATTTCTGTAAAAGGCTTGAAAATATAATTTTAAAAGTTCGCCTTCAAGTGTGAAAAAATTAATATTTATTGCCTTTATTGCAAGTTTCTTTTCATAAGATTAATATTTCTTAGTCTTTACCTCAACATCATCAATGGAATTCGTATTAGTTGTCGTCAGTTCTGCCTCTACGTTCCGCACTCTCTTGCCTATCGGAGGATCGGATTTAACTGGCGAAAAGTTGAGACATCTCCTGGAAGATGTCTTTTCTCGATTGCTTTCTAGTGTGGCTACGGCGCAACTTTTAAATTCATTTGACTTAATGAGCTTCCCTTCGCAAGATCGGCAAATTTTGAGAGATTGGGCATTGCCGTCTGATTCTCCGAGATAAATAGATGTTAAAGAATAAATTTGTTCCGACAATCCCTTTTCTTTTCCAACAGTGCTGAAAATCATGGTAAATCGGCTACCAGATTTATCATCGCCGCAAACACAACAAAAATTTCCATTCTTCCATTTATAATACTCTTTAAGAGGAGTTAGTTGCGTCGACATGTTCACTAATAATCTATAAGAAAATCACTATATAGCTGTCCCAATGAATACCTGTGCTCGAAAATAGAACTGACCGCGCCTAGTCCTATAAGTGAGTAATAAGCGTATGAAAAATAAAAATAACTCTGATGTAACACAAAATCGTATTCAATAATATTAATAGTATATGTTTCATAAATATACTATGCACAATTATTTTTAAATTATACGATGACGTAGTGTTGAAAGATTGTCATTGAAAAACATACATTGAAATCTAATAATATTGCGAATATATCTTAAAAATATCCAATATACAATCCAAACACAGAATATGATCTCAAAATAAATGTGCTTAACAGAGATGTAGAATCTATAGAGTGAATGAAAAATAAAATAATAGTAAAATATACCAATAAAGAACTTACTGGATCCAGCCACGTGTTTTTTAAAATATCATGCATGCCCCGTATACGTAGTGTCCATATTTTTAGCAAGTGAATCACCAAAAAAAAATTCCTGTGCATGGGCACCCGTTTAGCATACACCTCAACGGGTATTACCCATATGTTCTCAATTGAGAATATTCGGTATTACCCGTGCCAGACTATCGCCTGCGCTACCTGACGCTGACGCTTTCGCATATCATTATATATAAACCAATCACAATCGTCTTTCTATCACACGTTCTTCTCGAGCTTTGAGCTGCCATATTTGAAAACATTTCTAGCAGATTTTCTAGTCTATTTGCGATTCTGTGCAATGAAATGGAGATAGGAAAGAGAACTAGAATAAGCGACAACCAAAGAGATATTTTGGAAAGGTTTTACGGCCGTGGAATGGTCGGTGTTGGTCTAAATTATCGCGAAATGATCGAAAGCGCTGTAGCAGAAACTGGCTTAACAACGACTCAAGTTATAAAGGTAAATATAGATATCATAGTGATGTTAATGTTGACTATTTACTATTAAAGACACTAGATGACATACAAAAATATACTAATATAAACTAGTATCAGGCCTTGCTTGGATGAAAACCAAGATACTTGATCAATAGTGCAGCTA